GGGCGAATATGAAGAAACTTATCTTGGAACAATCATGGTACATGTCGTGTACTAGTGATCGTGACGAAAGTGTTCATTTGGAAACCCTTTTCGCATACTCACTTCGCATGATTTCGCAATTTATGGCCAACAGTCATTCATTGTGGTCGTATATTAGTGTAAGTAATAGGACAGTTCCAAAATGTTGACATTGACAAGAATTATGTGTCGGTTTCGTATGCATGAGAATTACAAGACTTCCGCTGACAACTTTTATTTATTCATGAGGTGCGTGATGCTAGTGCCGGAAGTTTCTGGAAAGACTATGGGAACTAATAAGCGCCATGAATCGAAGAGGTCCTTCGATCTTTACAGCACTACAGAACAGTTGGTCAGGGGTGTCAAACTGGTTGCCCGCGGGCTGCATCCGGCCGTTAGTTCAATTTGTCCAGCCTACGAAGTCCACGTCACTGGTTGGTTTTGGAAAGTCGCTGAGATTCCAGTTCGCATTAAAAATTTGGTTTAAGATTTTTTAGCTTGGCCCCCAACCACCCCTGAAGGGTTCCATCCGGCCCCCAGCTTAATCGAGTTAGACCCCTGCAGTAGGTGATCAATAATCCTGTGCGGCACGTCGCAGTGACACCCGTGACACCAAGTGATCATTGGATTATCGGATTCCCCCAGTCACCCACTTATGTATGCCTGAGGATGGATTGATGGATAATGGAGGGGGGAAGGAAGGAGGCATTTAGGGCCAACAGTCGCAGACGTCATCTTCCTCTTTTCTTCCCTATTTCTGTCTGTCTGTCCAAGGGATTGGAAATCGAACATCAGTTGGCCTCTCCCTTCTTCCTCTCCTGGGATGATCCCACTCTCCTCTCGCATGACCCCTATCTACTCCTTTCTTTCCTATTCCTGCCCCCATAAGGAATCCCTTTCTGTTTCTGACTTCTTGCCAAAAGTCTCCCCCCCCCCCAACCGCGCGTTCCTCAGATCAGAAGTCTGTGGATTGATCGTGTAAGTCGACACCACGAAATATGACAAAGGCTAGACGGGTTTAGTGAATCTGACATAAAAATTGGCTCGAATAAGATCGAGGAATCCCCAGAGATACAACAATGGTGAACCCATTCCATCCCATTTTCCCAATCGCATTTACCGTCTCCTCTCGACTGCGAAAGACTTGGCATGAGTTTCGGCAAGGAGGAGAAGGGTGCACTCGTCGAGAATGTCTCTGACGATGGATACCAAATGATTGAGGCGATCAGGGCGAGGATAAATGAGAATGCGATGGGATCATGGCCAGTAACTTTCCACGGCTTATTGAAGCCATCCCAGAGGGAAGTACGGCATTATTATAGTTGAATATGAGGGACTTCCGGATATTCGTCTCTGTCTCAGAGATGGTCTTGATTGATGACATCGATTTCCCATCTTGCCTTTGTGTTCCTCCGGTGACATATTGATGGCAGCTGATATGACCCGCGCCGTCCTTATCTCGGTTCGGTTTCATTAGATTGCGTTTATGAAGGCGCCTCAAAGCCCATGGAATTATAGGGCCAATATCACCCTTGGAAATCAATATCAATACCGTCCAAGATTTTCTATTCTTTCGACGTAAAACAAAGGAGGAAGAGTGACCTTTTTTTCCTTTCTCCCCTCGTCTCCTTTATAAACGATACACGTACGAATATTTTAGTCACTTGGGGAGGTTTTCCCTCTAAAAATACTTTATTGACTGCAAATACAAGTAGCGGGGGAACGGACGAAGGAAAGTTAAAAATAAGAGGAAAGGAAAAAGAACATGTCATTCGGTAGATAGCGGTAGAAAGCCAAGAATTTCATTTAGCAAACCAGATTTCCAGATCATCATGAAAGAAGACAACTGGAAATCAACTGGAAATGCTACAGCTTTTATAAAAACGTTATCTCTAAACTCAGGGAGAAAAAGAATTGCTTCTTGTATGCAACGGCTAAACAATTTGTTATTACCGAAAGGCAAAGTACGGTCATGAGATCAAAGAGAGAGAGAGAGAGAGAGAGAGACGAAGGGATGGTGCATCATCTATCAACATTTTTTTCATCAAAACTATGATAGGCATGCAGATGGATTTTGGAAGAATCCTTCATCTTCGGAGCAGAAAATCCCAAAATGGAGACGACCTATCGTGCGAGAGCGAAATACTAGGGCTGTACCGATGGCCACATTTGGCCGGTGGGCCGACGACCAATTTTGATCTCATAACTATCGGCTGGTGCCGGTGTCGGTGCCGATCGTGGTCTATAAATTGAGAAAGCATGAAATCGCATTCAAATAATCTTATTTGGCAGTCCTGTGATACGTATCAGTGGCCTCCAAAATAGACAACTTTTAGGCCTGACCAGCCTATCTGTCTATGTATCTGTTAGTGGTTTGCTTATTACATTGCTGCTGTCAATAGCGCTTGACGGAACATCTTTCGCAAAAGCATAACATGAAAGGAGGTGCAATCACTCCTTACCGCGGTGGGCCAGCGCCTAACCGTCTTCAGCTGCTCACATTTTTTTCGTTTTGCCCCTACTTCGAGCACCGGCATCGATAGCTTGCAAACCTGCCTATAGCCGATGACGCCGATAGTGCAACACCGGCGGCCGATACCGGTGGTTGCCGATACATCGGTACGACCCTACAAATTACCATGAGGACTGCTGCATTCTCCGAAATCACCACGCTTGAGAAATTATGGGTTGCAGGACGCCTGGATAAATCTGGCATGTGCCTAGACATGCAGGCATGCACATGCAAGGAAGCCTACCTACATTCGCTATAGACGGAAAAGCAAAGAGATAAATTAGATTTTGTACTTGATGGAGAGATTAATCAGATTCCGACAGATTCTAGTGACTTTGCCGCTCGGAGTAAGCATAGAGTGAATAGAGTGGGCGAGGAACTCAGAGCAGAGAAGTGCCATACGATACGGTTGGCACGAGTGGCTCTAAGCCCATGAATGCTCCTTCGCTCCGTCATCCCAGCTATCCTTCCCCCCCCCCCGCCACATCTAACGTCCAAGTGACCTCTAACCTCGGGAGATTCAATTTGGCCGGAGTGGTTGCTCCAGGGATACTCGAGCCTGGCTTCGGCCTTAAATACCCGAGTTCTTTCTCTTCCCACCCATAGAGATGAGAGTATGGAGTGATTGGAGGTCTCCTTTTCCATGCACGCCAGGACTTTCCCGAGGAAATAAACGCCTGGCTAGATTGATATCGAACCCCTGCCACGAGAACCAAGGGAATTACCACTTGTCTCTCCCATAAATGGTCGCCAAGGATCCATCTCGAGGTCGCCACGGCAACCTCCAAATATCACGTCTTTCTGGACGCAGTAATTAGCTCTCAAGCATCACGAATATCCTATTCGTGCTGTGATCCTTCTCATAGTGAGAAATGATAGTGCTTTCTCGTAGTGCAGACTGACCCATTCTGAAGAGCCTCTTGGGGGTTTCAAGCATCCTTCTACTTTTGACAGTACAAATACTAATGAATAAGAAATTTAATATTTATAAAGGGAAGATCACAAGTACTATAATATAATTTTCTAATAATAAGTACTTAATATACAAAACACAGTCTAAGTCAGGGAATAAAAACACTGGACCTTTGTAGATAAATCAAGTTGCTATTGACTCATGTTGCGCCTTTTGGAGGTTTTATGGACTGATCTAAAGTAAAAGCAACGTTTTTTTTTTAGAACACCCGTCCCGATCTTGAGAAGAAATTGATGTTTTCGGTCGCAAAATCAGGTATCAATGGACTTGCCCTGAGGTGACCTAAGTGCTGAGTTAATGCAGGAAAGACTGAAAATAATTACAACGAAAATGCAATCCCGTTGCAAGGACTATCGACCCAAATTTGATGAGCATGGTACAGAGAACCCTCTCTTGGTGGAATGGAGATGATGAATCCCTGAAATTGGAACTGCTGAAGCACTTCTCATAAAGTATTGAACCGATGTGTGCGAATGAGGAAGACGCGGGGGTTGTCCGTGTCGACCGTAGCACATTGGTTCGAATTGCTTCAAAAAATAAAAGGAACCAGGAAAATAATATCCTCGTGTTCAAAGCAAAAGAATGAATCTTCCTGTCAAAACAAAAAATCGTGTGCCATGATGCCAAAAATAAAATCGAGGAAAAAAGACCTAACCCTTTGCGGTCCATTTTATTCGCAACGCTATGGAGATTGTTGGATTATGTCCGACAGTGGACCGCAGAGGGTTAAAGGCAAAGGTAAAAGGATCGCCTTGGAAGGCATAAAACCATCGGTAGATGAATTCAATAAACCTTTTTGCTGAGAGAGTCCTGAAGGAGCCTTCCCACGAAACGTGGAACCGCTGACTCCGACATCCCTGACAAGCAAATCATATATCGACCTCGCTCATTCTCGTCGAGCGATGATGATCCGAGTTCTCCGAATTTCATGCGAGTCTCAGACGTCATCGTCTTAATTGACAAATTGCAATGACGCTACTTGGGCGTCATCTTCTCAGCCGACCGAGGAAAAAGAAGGGAACGGGTGACTTGAGACGGAGTCACAGACAGGTCGGCCGTCACTCTGACGTCATGGACCCGGTATCACGGCTTAGACGATAGTCAAACCGAGTTTCGTGCCCAACACTCAGTCTAGAGTCTTCCTTTTACTCCCATTGAACCTTGATGCATTTAGGGGGGGATCGCGACCCCCAGTTTGAGAACTGCTGGAGACTCGTGGGCCTAAATAACACTCAGATCTAGGTTCAGATCTAATCCGCATCGGACTAATGTAACTTGTGTTTTGGAAACTTGATAACGTAGACTGTCGCTTCCATCATGTTGTAGATACTTTCTCCGCGAAGCAAATTCCTTAAAGAGACGGCGATTCGCTGACGGGAAGTTTCGGAGGATGCAGGGGCTGGGAACGATGAAAAAAGGGCACATCTAGTCGGAAACAGGTTTTCGCTTTCCTGCATCGGAATACGCTGATTGATCTTTTCTTCGTCCTCGGCAGCGATGGAGGGGATGTTGCTGGAGGACGAAGGGCCGAGATTCGTGAAGGAGCCGGGGACGAAGGTCACCTTCCTCAACGACACGGGCGTGACCTTGGATTGCGTGGCCGAGGGGAATCCCAGTCCATCGGTCGCTTGGACCACGGGCTCGGGGATCCCCGTCACGGGTTCCCCCCATCTCATGGTTCCCCTGGGGAACGGCAGCCTCGTGTTTTACCCATTCGGTCCGGCGTCCTATCGGCCGGACGTCCACGATGCAGTCTACAGATGCCTGGCCAGCAACAGGGCCGGTGCCATCCTCTCTCCTGAAGTGAACGTCAAGGCCGGTAAGACTCGCTTCCGACCTACGCTATTGATCTGATGCTATTCCATTCTACACAAAAAATCCCTGCTCCCGAATCTTGCTTGAACTGGTCTAACGAAAGAAGGAAACCGGAGTTCCCTCATTTCCTCTTGGTAGCATCCTATTCCGTGATTACAGAAAATTCATAACGAGAAGCTTAATGAAGGTGGCATTTCAATTAGGGGCAATTAGCCATCACCTCAGCACAGGATGAAGAGCAATCTAGGGGGAAATATGGGACTTCTCCAGCTCGGAAATATTGCGGGCGATGGAAGACTATACCATTCCAAGTACCTCTTCGTACTTTTGTCTCCATGAAGTCCGATCTGAAAGAGCCTGACACGAAGGCAAACCCGATTCCACACATGCATTGCGGGCGTGTAGGACAGCAGGAACCGATTAGAACTTACCGGTTCGTTACATCACACAGGACATAGACGGTTTATGTCCGTAAGATTATCTTCGAGCCGTATTTAGCTATAGATAAGCAACGCATAAGCGAATTTTTCCCAAGAGGTTCAGAAGGGAAGCGTAAAAGGAAAGGCATAGAACTCTGGAGAGGAGCAAGGGGGGGGGGGGGGAGTGCCTGCCATAATTGGAAGCCAATAGAGCCCTGAATTTGTAAAATTCTTAACTCACGCTCCTTTGAGCTGGAATGTTGCGTGAAGCGCTTCATTCTGCCTATCTTCTGCATGAATGCCACGAAGACTAGAATGCGAAAGTAAATCAGGGGTGAATGATGAGGATAAAATAGCGAAGCTTCGAGAAGACGATCGCAGCCGTGCATCGTCGATGAGCCGGATCCCATTCATCCGTCTAAGTATGAAGACTTGTAGCTCCTTCCATTCACACGAAAAGGCGTAAGAGAAAAAATTTTTTTTTTCTGCCGAGACGATCCATTCCCCTCGTTCGGGGGAAAAAGGGGATCGAGAAGAGGTCTTATTAAGAGACGCGAAAGAGAGCGGAATTCTCCGGAATCCAGACAAAAAACAAGAGAGGCATGCGTGGATGGCTCCGTCGCTCGTTCTCGCTTTCCTAATTACTTCCTCGACGAGAGATGCACGTACGCGATCGGAGAGGCATTAATGAAGAACGATCTTCCTAATGAGATAACAGGGTAATAATGATTCGGAACGGAGAGAAGAAGGGAGCCGCTCGCGTGCCTGCACTGCATTCGTCCACCGGACGAGATTGATGAGAATCTTCTTTATTTATGATCTCGTTCCGACGTTAATTTTGAGCGATGGACACCCACTCTTTCCGGATCCAAAACTTCTCCGACGACTGTATCGCCATATCTCCGTTTCTCGTTGATTTGTGACGTCACCGATGACGCGGTTCGGGAGAAACGCGAACGTCTGGTTCGTCGAATGACGTCATTTTGGGCTTTCGACGAGTCTGCATCTCATTTTCCCGAGTTCTTCTGAATTCGAAGGAAGTGATGAGTCGATTGCCGAGATTTAGGACCCGGTTTCCCGCTCGAGCGATGAGAGCTCCATGGTTTCGAGAGAAAATCGCGATTCTGATTCGACAGAATCGAGTCCCGAAAGGCCTAAAGAGCCGGGGCATGACCGGCCATGACGGGGCACGACCGGCCATGACGGGGCACGACCGGCCATGACGGGGCACGACCGGCCATGACGGGGCACGACCGGCCATGACGGGGCATGACCGGGCATGATCCTCTCGTCCTGCTGAAAATTCGCTTCTCCGAAACGTGAGCGATCCGAGTCGACAAGAGACGAAATCGTTTCACGGTGATGGAAGGAGCAAGGCAGTAGAAAGAGGCAAAGCACCTTATCTACCGAGCGAAAGCCTCTTTACGGACAAGATGAGGTTTTTCTTTCGCTTCGTGAACGCGAAAAGGACCGCATTCATGAAGAGACAGAAGAGACAGGAGATGCCGAAGAGACTGGTTCCACCGGTTTATTTTTATTTTCTCCTGAACAGCTGGGACTTTTCCCGGAGGAGCCGATCATCTCGGCGATCGGCACCGGTTTTTGCAACATTCCTGTCGCCTTCTCTCCGACGTGCGTCGGGTTTTTCCCGGGTTTTCGAGCGGCTGCCGGTCCGCGTCTTCCGGCGATGATTCGCCGCGGAAACCGCGAGATCTTACGCGCTCGTCGGACGCGGCCGAATGAATTTTTCATGTCCCCCGAGGGATTTCCGCATCCGGAAACAGATCACTTTTCATACCTTCGACGAACTCAATCTTTTCGAGCACTCGTCCGCCGACCGCATCGACAGTCCTCATAGCGAAATTCATGACTTTTTTTCGATTTCAGTGGTCCGACAGGAGTACTCGGTGACGGTGGAAGACGCATCCGTCGTCCCTGGCAACGTCGCCGTCTTACGGTACCGAAAACACTTCTTCCTTTTTTTTTTTTCCTTTTCCTTGAGATCGCTCCATTTCGAGGACCGATCTCGCTTAACGAAGGGGATGGGAACACGGAGGAAAAATGTTTCCCCGGGGAACTCCAAGGTATATCGTCTGCGGTGGGGCTTCCGAGGATTAACGACGGAATATTACGATATCCTTTTATGTATCTCTTTTCTTCTCGGAACGGCTCGATATCGCAAGTAATACCGTCTTTCATCTCCCGGAGTCCTCGAGGACTTCTTTTGTGGATTCTCCCCCTTTCGTCCGGGAGGCTGCCTCTTACCTGCCCGACGAGGTCAGAGGTCATGCATAAATTACTGCGGGATGAAAGAGTCTTTGGGAGAAAATGAGAGAAATAAGTCGGGAGAGCGTGGGAAGCCTCCTCTCCTCTTCGACGATTTATAATTCATCATCGACCGCTTCATCCTATTAACGCAATCTCTCTCTCTCTCCCGCTTTCTCTCCCTTCTCGGTTTATCTTTCCTTTTTCTCTTTAAATCAGAAAAAAACATCCTTCGTCTCCATGGTGATTTCGTCTTGACTGGCTCTGAAACTCGGTCTCGTTCGGCGAAGACATGTGCCAGATGCGATGCCGAGTGTCTTAAATCCTTTACTGTCCGGTCTGCGAGAGAGAATCGGAAAGAGCCGAGAGCAAGTTAAATATGCGTAAATGCGCTTCGGTAAACGGCGTCGGCATTCCTGGGACATTCCTGGGAAGGATCGCGTTTTCGTCGTTGCTCTTTCGAACGACGATAACGAACGAATGACTTTGTAGATGCCTCGTTCCCGGGATGGTGAGGGACTACGTGAGCGTGACGTCATGGGTCCAAGACGACGTCCTTAACATCTACCCTCACATCACCTCCGGTGAGTGTACACCGAATTTATTTGACCTGCTCTTCTTGATTGACATCATTTGCATGGAAATGAGGTTTTAGGAAACTCGCTCAACTTTGTCCCTCTCGTCTCCCTTTTCCTCCTCGGCATGGAAGCGGCTTCTCCCGAGCGTCATCTCGGAGGGTAAATCCCTCGGAAGCTGTCTTCCGAACCATTTTTTTTTTTCTCCGCATGCGGCGGGGTATAGTTGACTGCCATTACGGTGCAAATTGGGCGGGTTTGGCAGAATGAAAAATGGGGCGAGACCTCCCATTTCAATCTTATACCCTCGGCCTCATTTCTCGCCCTGCACATTATCCTATCGGTTTTCCACCCTCTCGGCTTACGATAAAGGCGATCCATCTCCCCCGTCTTGATATCTCGCGAGGGTTGAAATCTTCGGCTCGAAAATCCTCAGTTTTAAAAAATTCACGCCGGAGCGAAGAGCGAAGACCCGTTCCTCGCACTCCGTCCGGAAATGCGGGCCGGGAAAAAAAAGGTTTCGTTCACGCTGGGGGATCGGCAAACACGATGATCGAGATGTGAGCCGTTCCTCCGAGCCTCACAGAACTTGCAAGGAATCCATGCATGACGGTCCTTTCTTCTTCGAGACACGCGATTCTTGTCTCGACAGCTGTCACTTCCTTTTTTTCCCCCCTCTTTCTCGCCTCCCCGAGTAGTCTGTCTTCGGTGTTTATCTTCCTATATTGACAGCACGAGCGCAGTGTTTACGTTCGAAACAGGTCCAAAAACGGGCTAATTCCCTTCTCTGCCTCGCACCGAGGAGACCAACTGGGACCATCTGTTCCCTCTTCTCGCCGATTTCTTTTTTTCCGGAAATATTTTTGGCCTTTTTCGGGCAACGTGCATCCGATCCGTTTAACATTAAACCCATCAGACTCCCCGATGGACTTCTACGGGAATCGGACCCACTCCGTTAAACCCCTTACAAATTGTGGCACGAGTCGAAACGAATGGATTTTTGTCGTTGGTGCATTTCCCCTCTTTCGCTCGTCTTTTCAGGTGGGAAGTACGTGGTCCTGCCCTCGGGAGACCTTTCCGTCAATTCGGTGGACGACAGCGATTCCGAGAAACATTTCCAGTGCCGGACCCTGCATTCTCTCACGGGACAGGTCACCCTCAGTCAAGGCAGAGGGAGAATCCTACTAAAGGGTAACAAAAAATTTAGATCTATATTTTTTTAACATCTCGGGAGAGATGAAGCTCTCTCGGTCGTCGACTCATGCGGAATGATGCGACGTAATTCAAGTAATAACAGGGTGGAGTCCATTCATTTTCCCCGGAACGTAATTCGATCAGCAATCAGGGAGGGAAGGAAAGAGACCTGTGTTCAGGATCCCATCATATCTAATGCAGCCGGAGCACTTTTCACAGGCTCTGATCTTACATTTACCGATCCGATATCTCCTCATCGACGGAGACTAATGCATCTCCCTCGGAATCTGGAGCAGAAAAACGTGACGAAACGGCTTTGGGTCCTCGGACGCGAAATGTCGATTTTTGTCGTGATTTTTGGACGAGAAATGTCGAAGAGCGATGATCGACTCGCGCGTCGATGCCTCTTTTGTCCGTTTAAAGTTTGCATTGCGTCCGCCGCCGTCGTTTTACAGTTGCTTTTGTGACGGTCGAATTGCAGAACCTCGGACTCCGTTCGCCCCGAGAATGGTCGAACCGAAAGTGCGAGAAAGACGAGTGACGGCCGGTGCCAAAATCATCCTCCCGTGCGTTGCCGAAGCCTCGCCTCTTCCATCTTACAGGTCAGTTATTAAACTCGCATCGTTTTGTTTTTTCTCTCCAGAATCGATCGAGGTCGCTAGATGTATAACTTTCCTCGGTCGATACGACGCCGGCGGATCGCTCTCGCGACCGTCACGCGTTGCTCGCGGCAGAGCCGGATCTTCTGCCCGTTGCCTAGAGCGCAAGGCGGCCTTTGCTTTGGCCTTTGCCAGCCTACCGATGGCCTGCTGCCGGATGTCGGCAGGTGTCCCACCGGTTCCGGTAAAAAATTTGCGTTTGCCTTTTTCTTGTCCTGGAGCCAAATGATGCTCCGGGTACACGATCTCGAACACCATTAGGGTTTTGGCAAGGCCTAAAGCAAAAACCAAAAAGCTGATGATTTGTGTCCAATTTTCTTTATTACTTAGAATTGCTCGTAGACGTGCGAGAAAGATTGTAAATTATTTCCCATCGGAAAACGGACTGATGTGAAGCATGCCATCTGAGATAGGAAATCCCCTTGTTGATATGAAAATCTATGAATGGATGTGAAAATGTTGTCCAAACGGCACATCTTATACAGTAGTATCGGTGCAGAGATACAGTTATCACAATATCAGAAATGAAGTTCTGAGGATCCCAGAAACTGGAATTCGGAATGAGGATCCCAGAAACTGGAATTCGGAATCGTCGAAACTCTACACGACGTCGTGGTGTATTTTTGTCTTGGACTTGTCATCGTCCCTTCAAAAATGTTACGAGCTCCGAATTCTCTCCTGCGGAACTGGTGTAGAACTTCCCTGGAGCCAATTTCCCCCTGACTGAGCATGAAAACATGAAACGGGCTCCCTATGCGAGTTGCTTCATAACTAAGACATGGACAAATCCCTCCGGACAACCAATTTCGGTTTGCAACTCTCTTTTCCTATTGGATCATCCAACTTGGGGATCGCACGCGAACAAAACCAAAATGGCGTTAGAGGACTTCTGAGTCGACGATGCCAGTTATTTGGCTCGTATCATCTAATTAGTGGCGGCAAAAGAGAACGACATCGGATTCCATGGTTGCGGAAACCTTGTTATCTAGGGCTTTGCTCCTATTCGCAAGCGACACCTAGCAGAGTTCAATTGGGATCTCGAATTCATGCTGAACAAGTACCCGAACCCTTATAAATAATCGATGCACTGGGGCATTGCATCTGGAACTCTTCCAAGCACAGAAAACCCTTCTTTTGAGAAAAAAAAAAGATAGTATGATCCTCGAATCGACTGCGAGGCAAGTATTCGCTCTTCCTTTTGTCAGTCTTATAATCCTGTCACGCCTACGCTAGCATCGCCTCGAAGGAAGATACATGTCGTGACTGCTGTACGTGCTGTTCTCATTAATGGGCTCAGTTATAACTGCAGCGATGTTTTCCATCCTCGCCTCGATACGTCGCATGACACATACGGAGCATTTTATCGAGACGGATCGTGCGAATACCCGTCAGATTCCTGCGCCTGTGGTTCCTGCCTGCCTAAAGAAGTACACACCCATGTAGGTTAACGATGAACATAAAAAGGGCCAACAGGGGAGGAAAGGAAGAACACGAAAGGCAGTCGTATAATACCAGAAGCGGGAGGACAATGAATGACCCCCCCCCCCCTCCATGCAAGGCTGGAGGGAGGGAGGTAGAGAGGCTCTGCCACAGAACATTGCATTCTCACACATGATGGACGACCTTCCTGGTTTTCCTTCATGCTTTATCCCGTCGATCTCGATAGAGAAAGAAACAACCGTTCCTTGGCGGTCACGCTAAAAACCGTTCCATCCTTTTCCTGGGATGAAGAATAAATAGCAAAGGGGGTAGGAAAAAAAAGGCTCATTATGGCCGACGTTTCTTCGCTTTCGATAACGTATTTGGAGGCGCAAAGCTAGATCTTTGCATAAAAGTTCGATCTAAATGATCTCCATCTGGCACCAGCGCAGAGCGTTAGAAAGTCAAATCGTCTCTTCGTTCGCTGCATTCTGCCGGAGCAACAAATCCTTCTCCAGGGCCGATGAGATGGAACTGCGCGTTCGGAATGAGGTCTTTATTTTTTATTTTCAGAGGAGTAACGTCGGAGTCGTAGTCGTACTAATAGGAAGTTGATTCCATCGTAGCCCGTGAAGACCTCATATCCACCGGCATCAGAGACTTCCAGAGGAAATCGGAGGAAATTGGAAACGTAAATTCTTGCTTACAATGGAAGCCCGTGTCGTTATTGGGATTCATGGGCCGGATGTATTATATTCCAGAGAGGGAGAGAGAAAGACTAGGGGCTGATCGATTTTCTCCATGCAGAATCCGGCCTCGGGGCCACTGATAATCTGTCTCCTCCATGTCCTCTCATTTCTCCAGGGGAATCACCAGAAACCAATCGATTATCGATCTTCGTTTCTATTTCGTCATTCCTTACAGGGTAAGTAAACGCAAAAATCGCGGAATGAGTTTTTTAAAGAGGAATACTCGAGGCGAGATTCGTTTCTCGGTTCATCGGCAGATGATGGAGATGCAGCTCCTTCCACTGGTTAATTGTTCGAGAGAGGAGAGGAAATGAGTCGGATGAGAATAGATGGCTCAGATGGAATAACGAAGGATGATGATAACAAGGATGATGATGATGATGTTAATGGATCCCTCTGTCTCTCTCTCTCTCTCTTTCGCCGCCTACTTCGCTCTCAATTCATCTCTCCAGGCTCCTCTGACCGCGAAAACCGGTGTCCATTGTAAAGCACGTTTTGCCTCGCCGATGAATTTGCGTCGGCTTGCGGATGCGTCACGTTCCGTGACGACGCGATCATGCGGGGGGTTCTGAAGATTCACTTTGGATCCGTTCAATTTCGCGGTGCTCTAATCTTCAACGCGGAATCGAAGTCGGTGTAAAGCACGTGATTTTCCGCTCACCAGCCATACGCAGTTGAGTGCCGAGAGCCAGGGAAGGAAAAATCCAGGGGAAACGGGAAAATTGGATTCGATGCATTCAGACTGGCGGCGTCGCCTGGGTGCATCCGAAATGAACATCAAAAGGCTTCTTCGTTTTCATATCTCCTCACTTATTCCTCTGGGGAATATGAGGAAGAGGAAAAAGAAGCTCTGATGGTGATGAATGACGCCGGCTTAAGGACCAGCAAGAACCATCATATCCGGAGAATTGGAAGGAAGATTATCACCCGGCCTGGAATGAAAGGATGAATTAAAAAGATGAGATTCCCCTGCTCCTTCCTCATATCCAAGTGCATGTGATTTAGGAGCGAGTTTTTTTTTGCCTTTTATTCTCCAATGAAGTGTCAGGGGCTCGATTTCTCCCTCATTTTCCTTCGATCTCGTATCTTTGTCATGAAGGGAGCCGTGACACCGTTTTTACGATGCCAATCTCACTTCCCATAGTTGCTGGCTGCCTCGAGAATTTTCCTTTCGCCTTTCTTGGCTTCCTATGACACGTATCAGCTCCTTCTTCTATAAATAAGGAATATCGAAAGGAATAAGAAAAAGGTTAAAGGAATAAATCGATGCTCTTGCGATCTTCAACGATCTCGCGCGATTCGTCTTGCTAAATGCATAGCGTGACCAGCATATCCTTGCTTGAGATTATCTGACGCAATCAAAGCTGCATTAGAGAAGAGAAAGAGAGAAAATAAATAAAGCAGAGAGAGGAGGGAGAGGAAGGCGGGGAGTGATAGGAAGGCTGTCAGGGCAAAGATAATGAGAAACAAGCGGAGATGCTTCCCGGGCAAGAGAGGAATCGTCAGAGGCCTCAACAGGGAGAGAGAGGGGGAGAGAGAGAAAAAAAAATGGGGGGGAGGAGGGGAGGGGGGGGGTGTGAGGAAGAAAGGGTGGGAAACAGATTGGGATCAAGGAAGGAAAGAAAAGGAAAAGAGGAAACCTTTTTCTCTCACGGGGGCCATTTGTCCGTATTAACACTTGGATTCCCTCTTCGTCACTTCTCCATCTCATCTCATCGATACTCCACTTTTCCTCCTCATTTTCACTCCATACGTAAGGGAGTGGCTGGTATCTGCCTAGCGGTGGAACGGCGTCTAGACTCGGAAGGGGATCGCGAGTGAAAACCAGAACAGCATTCTTTTAGGATTGCGACTTCTTCCGGAAGTTCAAACAGAAGTTTGAAAAGGTGAGAAGAATGAAAGAAAAAAAAAAAGAAAGTGTCATTTTGAGGTGACGATGAGTGCTTTCGTGAATAGAAGCGAGAGATGCGGAGGGATCTCTGAGAAAGGGCCTTTCTGTACGAAAGACCCTTTCGGTCTTGCCACGGTCAGATATTATACAACACCTAGAGCAGATTCCTCTCTTCGAGGGACGAGCTCGGAATTCTTCTCTCGCTTGGGTTCCCTCTCGCCCACAAATGCTTTCCCTGATGAATGAGGTAGGGCCATCGAAGGAGAGGCTGAAGGGATGAAGATCATCGGATCGACGAGGGGGGATGAGGCATGTGAAGGCGATTAGGAAGAGTTGTATGACCCAGAGATAATGGGGAGAATCGGCTCGAAGGAGAGCTCTTCTTCTTTCCTTTCTTACGGTCGGCTCTAACTTCAGCCTTCGCTTCCTTGGTATATTCCTTCGAGGCGCTAGTGTCATCGGTCCTTGAAGACACTCTGGCTCGCGGATGCGGGGGGCCCTGCGGGTAGGCGCCTAAACGGGCTGCACATATAGGGCACAACACCACGTTGTTGCGTCGAGTGACCCTTCCTCCCTTTATTTCTCATTTTGCACCCCTCAAAACGATCAGTAAACGCTCTTCAACAGCATGCCTCAAATGTTATGAATCCAGAGGAGCTTGAAAATTTTTCGAGGTTGCTCCCTGCTAGCTTTTTCTTTCATGCTCACAGAGGAGGATCATTTCAAAACGCTCATCCTTTCTCGGAACCATCGCACATTCAACACCCATCCGAAAAAAATCGTTGCGTTCAGGGTCCAGGGCTCACTTGCGCGATGGTGTTCGACTTCTGCGAAAAGCTCTCAGAAGTTCTCAGTCTATTGAATCCCGACTCTCGAGGCATTCTATTGACACGTCCCAGCCCATTCTCTGGACTGCCGTTTGCACGCTAACGACAAATAACTTCGACGATTCGACGAACTAGAAACGATGATTCGTTAGGAGAGATATGCTAGAGGATTGAGTACCGTGAAATTCCTTAGATGGTACCGAGTGAAGGAGACGAGGATGGAACCGATCCTAGACGGAGAAGATGGCTTTTCTCTCCTTCACGGTCATCTGGTGATGGAAAAAGTGCGCCCAGAGGATCAGGGCGATTACGTGTGCCTCGTGAAAAACGTCCTCGGCAGCCGAACTCTCGAAGTCAAGCTCAAAATCCAAGGTAAATTTTTTTAATTCTTCATCCGGCTCCACTCGCGGCACTCGTGGCAAAAAGGAGGAAATGTGGATTATAAGGGAAACCATAAAAACCCGGCCTGGATCCGATGGAAAAGTTAGCTACAAATTTCCATAATCCTATTGCATATTGGAGTAAAGACCCTGGCTGTGCAGTCAGGGAGAGAAGACGACATCCTCCCAAGTTTTATTCAAGGTGCATTAGAAGAGCTTATATTGCACGTGGAACCAGCCAATCGATCCTCATTCACAAAAGTTTCCCCAATTTACGGTCTGTAGTGGTTAGGGGTCCCCTAAACGGGAAATGAAAGCAGGCAAGCATTCAGGCATGCATAATGGAGTGGGCATATGATGCATTCCTCAGTCCCATTGTCGGCGAGAATGCACCCGGAGAAGATGACGGTCGACATGGGCTCGGAGGCGACGCTGAATTGCCTGACGAACGGAGAAGACACCAAGATCCAGTGGCTTCACAATGCCGTCCCCATCGCCAACAATCCCAGGTTTCCCTCCTTCTAAATACGATATGTGCGTCTGGGTGTGAGAAAAACGATTGCGTACGTGAAAAATATCCGCGTCGTCTCCGATGTGATGCAATTCCTTGCGGAGCAATCATCTTAGGAGCCACTTGGAAAAGCTTCAAGACTTTCGTCGTGCTTTTAAAATTTATCGATCCCAGTAGTCGAATTTCCACTTTCATCCTAATTCCTTCATTAGCCCAAGATTTTAAAACAATTTGTCGTTCTCAATTTCGACGAAGGGATTTTCCGTCGATCCGGGAAATTCCTTCTCCAGTCTAAATGCGAACTTCCGAAAGGGTTTTTTTCCGAACCGATGATAGAGAAGAGCCCGATTTTCTCGAAAAGGGGGAAGCTTAAATGATTTAGCAAGCTAGAAAGCATCCTTTCTTCCTTTCTCTTGTTTTCTCGGATGCAATCTTCCCTCTTCTTTCGCTTCTCATGCACGTCTCGTCTCGATGGAACCCGACGTGTCCGACCGTGGAGCTTTCTGCGTGCCCCCAGGGTGGAGATTTCCGAGTCCGGTCAGACGCTGACGGTGAAGGGAGTCGGGAAAGGGGACACGGGAGTCTATCAGTGCTTCCTCTCCGATTCGAGTCAAACCCTGCAACAATCGGCACTCCTACGGCTCGGAGGTTCTTTTCGTGTCCCATCTGCAGAAGCATGCTCTCGTTCTATCGCCTTCATGAGTTTCCTTTCATCTCCGCCTCGAATACATTCTGATTTGCTCATCTTTTCATTTCCATCTCCATTCACATTTCTCATGACGCTTTTTTTCTGCAATTTTAGCTGCCTTGCCGGAGCTCGTGTACGCGTTCAGTGGACAAACTCTTCAACCGGGTCCGGCGATAAGTTTAAAGTGCGTGGCCCGCGGAATCCCGCCGCCGCAATTCACCTGGACCCTCGACGGATTCCCGCTCCCCGAACACAGCAGGTCGAGAGAACGTTGTCGTGTTCGAGGCGTAACGCGAGCGATCTCGTTCGCACGGACGCGAGCCAACACACGAATGCTTTGCGATTGCAGGTTGATCGTGGGGCAGTACGTGACGTCGACGGACGACGTGATCAGTCACGTGAATATTTCGGGGATTCGCGTGGAAGACGGAGGGATGTACGCGTGCACGGCCCGCAATTCGGTCGGCCGGGTTCTACATTCCGCCCGCATCAACATCTACGGCATGTGTACCCTCTTCTGTAGCAGGCATTTGCGATCTGTGGCTCGTGGCGAAAGTCACGATGACGGTAATGCTCTTTGAGACCAGGGGAAACGATAAAAAAGGAGGGAAAATATCAGAAGGGAAGGAGGAAGAATTTTCTTTATTCAAAACCATCAGGATTCAGGAGCGTGGACATATGGTTGAGTGAGCAATCTCTCTCTTTCTCTCGTGAGCCAGCGACTCACCACGTCCTTGGAATATTAACGAGAGATCATCAGCAGGGGGGAAAAAGAAAAAAATAGAGGAACGCGAGGATTTCCTTTTGCCAGATCTCCAACCCAATCCGGCCCCTGCACGGCATCGGGAAAATAATGCTTTTCTATCAGGATCTGGCCTCGATCTCTCGGCATCTCGTATGAGAAAGAGATAAATGATGAATGCAGCGATGTAATGGCGAATGAACCGGCCGTGTGTTGGGTATCCAGGTCCTCCCTACGTACGGCCCATGGGGACGATATCGGGGACGTCGGGAGGAGATCTCATCGTACACTGCCCCGTCGCCGGATTTCCTGTTTCTCAAATCTCCTGGCATCGAGGTATTCTCCCGATACGTCTGTCTCTCGATTTCCATATCTTTCGCCTCGTCCATGTACGACGAACTCCTTCTTCGACGCAGACGGGAAGGATCTGCCTTCGAATCGAAGACAAAAGGTCCACGAGAACGGAACCCTCGTCATGAATCATCTGAATACGGAAACCGATCCGGGAAAGTACGAATGCGTGGCTCGAGATCGATCCGGGGCCTCGGCCAGGGAATCCCTCAACCTCAAAGTCATAGGTAGGTGTCTCTTGCTCGGAGAAATCGTCCGCGACGAACTCGTTTTCGACTGGAATCCTCCAGAAATAATTGGGTCGTTTTCGGGCTCGACACGAAAATCCTATCATGATCATTGCTATGATTATCTCTGCGAGCGATTAAATCTCCCCCGAGTTTGTCTGCCGAGACGCACAATCGATGCAAAGCGATCTCAAAGTCTCCCAACTTTTTGTCTTTCTTCGCCCGATGAACCTCCGAAGCTGTTCATTTCTCCCTTTCTTTTGTCCTCGGATTCAGCCGCATTCGGTCGACGACAGCTGCCGCGGAAAGGGATCTGATGGCTCCCACATTCTCTAAAACCCTTTTTCTTCATTCCGAGACATCTTCCTTCCCTCTTCCCCCTTTTTTCCCCCCATCTCCTTCTCGGGGAACGGCGGATCGGAAAATCCAATCACACTCCCTTTCCGACGCCATATGTTCTGAAAGCCTCGACTAGTACCGAAGGCAAGCACGAAGCTGCAAACAACCATATGCGTAGAGTGATAAGACTTCGAAAAGGCAGTTTATGCTGCCTGAAGAGTGGCAGCCTTACCCCTCCTCCCTCTTTCTGTCTTTTCCAGAGGTTTTAGATTAATACTAGACAATATGTTTGACGGACTCGCACTGGCAAGGGAAAAATCCTGTTTAAGAATCCAACTCTTTAAGGTTGGATCCTTCCTGCTTCCTGCTCCAAGAAAAGTGCGGTCAAGCAATGTGCTCGGTGGATAGACGATATATCCATAAATGCTACAGATAAATTTAATGTGGATCGACGAAATAGGAGAGGAATTAATGGAATTTTTGTTCTTGCCATTTAACACGTCCGCTGCGGCGTGAATCACCAGTGACTCGCACAGCATAGTGCATACCAATCGGCATTTTTGATCCCGCAGCGAACGTGCTAAATGCAATCGGGAACGACCAAGGGAAAATCCGATATTCTTGCGCTTGCTCATGCAGTTGGGCAAGGTAGATAAATGTGAAGCATCAGGCAGTGAGGATTAGGCTGGGTAAAAAATGGCCACGACGTCCGGTCTTTCCGTCCGTTCTACCGGTTGGATTCGCCAGTCCCTTTAATGACATCACCGAATAAATGGAAAGCCTACATCGCAGCCATGTTTTTTTTTGGTCCCTTAGGCTTAATTGAGGGTATTTTGGCCCATGACCATTGATCTTGATCAAATGTTAGGATAATAGTATGAGAGTTAACGTTTGGGAGCTAGACCAGGTCTCAATATAAGAGCCTTCGTGATCTTTTCCAAATTCTAGAGGAAGCAGCAGTGGCCTGTGGCCAGTGGTTTATGGGGGGGGGCACCAAAGTTCTAGAGCGCCCCCCCTTTCCTTGTAACAAATGAGATACACCCGACTTCCTTTCCATTAGTGAATGGAAATGAACTCATGACTGTTCAATGATGCATGAATTCTATTTCACGGTCCGAACCGAAAAATAATCCCCAGTCAGTGCTCGTCTGCGCAGCCGTGAAGGCCTTGCAGGACGAAACCCGTCGTCGCCTCGATGATTCATGCGCAGTTCAGCCTTTTTTTAATTCCTAAATCCTTTCTCACGCATGAAGTCCTCGCGCGTGGGGAGGTGTCAGAGACGCGGGCGTAGGCAGAGCCTTGTTAGCAGGCTTCGTTATCATCCTTTGCACTCGTCCGTCTCGCTTCCTTAATTTGTGAAATCATATATATTCGTCGCTAATGAATCATCCCGTGCAAGGTTTAGACACTCGTTCGGCAAACTTTGACGTTAACAGTTTCTGCATGTTAGACCTATCCCAACTATTACTGCCAACGATGAATTCATTGGCTGTTCATTTTTAGTCAAAAGCAGCTTCTTTCCGGTTGTCAATTTGTACTTTGTGAAATTTATTTATTATTATTCAAGCTTTCATCTGGAAAGATGGTTGGACAGCTTGCTCGAAAGGCTCTTGCTGTCGCTACACTTCGAAGGAAAGCCCGAGGTGATAACGTTGGGTCCCCATCAATCTCGGTTCAAATTGGAATAATCGATTGAAGACGGAAGGAAAAATCAGCGGAAGTTGAACGCCTGTAGTTCTAGGGAAAAACGGCGTGGACAAAAAGCAGAAGTGATGAACTTGAAACATTTCTCTGAGAAAATTAAGAAGCATGAAGCTTTTCACACGTATATCTACAAATCCATGCAACTGGCAATGCTAGAGCGAGTAAATGAAACTCGATGAAGCTCGTCAACTTGCCGTGAAACGGCATAATCACCAAGTTGATAAGAGTCGCTCCATCTTGTTGAGGATGGGGCGATTGCATACGAATTTTCCTGATTGCATTCGATTTTGTAGGGCTTTTGAACCGACCTTGCGAGGTCATGACGAATCAGAGACTCCCGCAAATCCAGGGATTTTCCTAGAATTGGACGACTTTGTCGCGAGTGTGGATTGTGCCATGAGGAGGCAAGACTGCCACCGTTCTCAAAGGAACGTCGAAAACTATTTAAAATGAACTCTTTGAATGAAATTCTGCATATGTGCTATATTAGCGAAGAAATCAGAAATGTGGAAATTTCTCGCGACACAGGTTGACGAAACAACAGATGTATCCTGGAAGTGTTCGCCTGTATTCATTTTCCCGTCGTTCCATTGGTGCCGAGGTGCTGGATCGGTTCCAAGGATTCATTTGCTGAACTAATCAGCTCAAGCAACATATCCATAATGCCTTAGGAAAATTAGTCGGACAAAATAATGACGGTACCTCTGTCATGAGAGGGGCGTTTCTTTCCTGGTGTTTTTTGGATCCGTCATTCGGCAGTCTGCTTTAGCGACGGAAGCGTGCAACATTGTTTCCATATCGTCAACGCCCTCCAATTTTGGAACTCTCGAGCCGCCACTGAGAATCAGAACAAGCATTCTCCATTCTCGAGGCAGATCTCTTGCTCAGATGGAATCGCATATAAATCGGTATTAAGATGGACCAATGATGGTTCATATTAGCTTATCTTTGTGCTTATAGGGGGGAATGGATGGAGGGGGGGTCCTTACCTGTTAGCGAGAGCGTCTTCGATTTGCCTTCCGTGGGCTTGGAGGAATCGCAGAGGTCATGATCTCATGCTTCTCGCTCCTTCTTTTAGGCCATGGTAGTGTTGAGGCCTTCTGCCTTCAATCCCAGGTGTTCTTATCGCTCGAGGCAGAGATGATTAATCCTTTTCATCTCCTATACCCATGAGAGACGATTCTCGCTGGACATACCTGACAATAGACATTCTTTCCATGGGCATCCCAGGGCAGCGTGTTCCTTCTTAAGGCAGGAACCTGGCAGAAAAGGAAATAGGTCATACATTAATTTTAACACGGACTTTTTGAGATACTAATACATTTTCAGTTGTTTTTTTTTTAATAAAACTTTTGAACACTGGCTAGTGCGGGCTTCAGTACCGTTACAGTTAATTGCAGGATTGTGAAGGACGAGTTGATGCTGACTTAAGGTGTACTCAAGATTTTCTGAAGGAGTGTGATTGCGTAGCAGTGTGCGTCGGAAATTGAAGATCGCAGGTGGAATGACAAGCATTTTGTGACCTCAAAACTGAGTCAGATTCTAATCAAATGGCGCACAGATTATGCGGAAGGCGTATGGAATAGGGCTATACAAATTTTCGTTATCGGATAGCAGAATATGTGGAAGGATGGAACTGTGACTCGACCGCAAGTGAAAGCTAAGAGTTTTATTCGGAGTCTAAAATAGCGTCAACCCATGGGCAGAATATTTGGAATGCGTGCATTTGCTTTGAACTTCACTTTCAACGGGTTGATCTTGGATTCCAGTACCAGAGGTATGCACGACACAATGAGCAACAGGACATACCTAAGACATATGGATCCCACGTAGAACATATGACATCCCATGGGCGTCCCTATGAAATGTCCTGCGGATGTGGATACCTCTGGAACATCCAGAGGACATCCCGGAAGATGAGGAATACCGACGCTCTACATGACAAATCCCTCGTATGTCTATTGGATGTCCATAGTGGGACGTAGGACGTCAGGATCAATTTGGAACGTCCATGGGACCATCCCATGCTACTTTGGGAGTGCGCTAGTGTAGATGGGGTAGAAGCGCTTTGGGACATAGTGTCAGATGAAATCACGAGGTGACTGAGTACGCGCTCTCTTTTCAAACGAACCGACAAACCATCGTGGTTAAGGACGAATGAGTGAAATGCTCGAAAACATCCTATTTGCATCTGCCGCTTCCATCCACTCACAGTACCTTTCGCAATAGGAAATTCTTAGACATGCATATTCAAATGTATTAGTCGCTCAAAAAGTCGTTAAAGGAGGCGAAATTCACTAGACCTAACCACCAAAAGCAGGAGGAAGAAGGATGAGGGGACTGGAGGAAGGGCTTACTTTCAGAAATGCAGATGTGAAGGAAGGCAGTGGATGACATATACGAAGAGACCCCAGGCCTAAGCCCAGGATGATACTAAATGGCCCAGTACAGGGTGTCTCAGATAGATGCACCCCCTCTCCCCTCTTCTCCAGGGAAAACTATGATGACCAGGAGGGAAGCAATAAATATTTAGAATTCTCATTCATTTTCTATTCTAATGAAGTATTTTGTTCCCTTCCAGATACCTTATCTCAGGGAATAAACTAGATTTGTTGGTCGCATACAAGCGATAACATTTCGTGAAGTTCGTGATGCGTGTGCAAATTTTATTTCGCGATCCTGGATTGTTAAAAAGCTCTACATATCCGAAGTTTTTGTCAAGACAAATTGTAATTGGAACCCTTATGAGTGTGAAATGTGGAATAGTGAAATAGGAAAGGCGTGCATCAGTCTTTCTCAGGAGTCCAGAGACATACGAGGGTTGCTTTGAAAGTTTCTGCCTAAAACCTTTATGACAAACCGAACCAATTAAAATGTTCACAACTTTTCCAGATATTTATCACGAGACCAAATTAATTTCCTCACACTCCCAAGCCACTTCTTCAACGAGCTACACCAATTAGATGGTGACAACTTTTGGATGATTTTTCAGGACACCTGCAAATGTTGGAAAGGTCCCTTTGTTGCTTTCGGGAAGTGCCTTTGAGCACTCACTTGACTTTTAGGGACATATAAAAGCCACATGGGACCAAGTCGGAGGAATAAGGCGGATGAGTGACCAAATGCACATGTTTTTCGACCAAGAAGTCAAAATGTTGTGCTGCAGTGTGGACACTTGTTCGGTCGTGATGCAGCGCGACTCCCCAGAGACCTGACCGCGGACGTTGATCTTCCAATAGCTGGAACCCCTAAGGCCGCCACACTTTGCAGTACCAATCAGCATTCATTGTTGCACATTCTTAAAGGTGCACCACTTTCACCAAGCCATTGCTCCGAAAAAAAAACAGCACCCATCCGTTTCCCAACTGTCCTGTTGCAGTGAATTTCCGTTGGAGGCTCCTCTTTTGGAAGCACCCAAACTGAGAATTGATGAGATTTATCGTTTTGATTCTGAATCATTGTCATAAATTTAGTTTTTTGTTTTACCTGTCACGATTTCAGAAACAGGTTTTTTTGACTGTCCTGATTTGTACCTTTGAAGCATGAAATGCCATCAACAAAGCCTGGCCACTTTCTGGGCCTCTGTCATTTTGTGGGGCAGCAGAACAGCAGAAGAGGTCCCACATATCCAGGTGATGATGGATGATGGCATTTTCTTCGGCCGATCCAATGTTGAGAGTGTCTTGACGCTGTCGGTAGATTACGTGAGGATTGGCAATCACCAATTTCTTTGCATGGTCATCATTCCCAGGGGTCAAACTTTCTCTTGAACTTCCAGAAAGCGTCTCATCAAAAACTGAGGCTCCCCACGACGAAGTTATCAAAACCAAATTTGACTATGGTATATGATGCAAAAACTCCACAAAAAGCACCACTGAGACGTCCCTGCGACTTGTTCCAGATAAAAAAATTTAAGAAACAAGATAGATAATGGTACGAAATTGCTTTCTTGGCCGTTCAATTCCCATGTATAAAAAAGCCCAACTCCAAAAGTTTATTTTCAAGCAATAACCGAAATAACTTAAAAGTTGACCAACGAAGATATATTAAGTTTTGTTACATTAACACATACTGCAAGAACTATCACATAAAACATATGTAAGCAAGTGAGGCCAGAAACTTTCAGAGTAGCCTTCGTAATCGCGGTATCAGCTGGAAAAAAGAAAGGTGTCCGTTCTTTGGTGTCTCTGATGGAAAGAGAAAGGGGAAAGAAGCGCAGTCGCGCCACTGTTCATCTGGAAATACAGGACCTGGGATTTAAGCCTTTTCATGGCATCAAGAAACCCATGGTTTCAGCCCTAAACTTGAAAGACAGATTGTGGTTTTGTGACTTCTTCGACCGCAGTTCATCTGATAAGGCAAGATGAGTGAAATCCTCCTTGGCCCAATGCAGACAAGAAATCAAGTTGTTGCTCTTATGCAATCAACAAATCTCGTCCCCCCTCCACACACGCACTGATAAGGCATCTAGAAGGGAAAAAATACTTCAGAACAGAATGAGAATTGAATTGAATGAGAATTCTAAAAATGAATTGCTTTCTTCCTCGTCATCATAGTTTCTCTGGAGAGGGAGAGTGCATCTAGCTGAGACACCATGTAGCTCTCAGATTCAACCCATCAACTTTAACCTTTCTGTTCCTGATACTGGATATTTAAAGAGAGCTCTGATGTCCCTGTGTACCTCCTTTTAAGGGATGTCGCCGATTTGTAAAAAAAAAAAAAAAATTATCACATCTTCCAAGGAAAGGGAAAATCAGTTCTGAATGCAATGTGAAAATTTTCTTTGTTCTCAGAATTTAATTCATAAAAATTATCCCTGGTGCTTATGATCGGCGCGATACAGATTGGTTTTCTATTGACTTTTGCTTGAACAGGCTTCTGCCTCGAGAGGAGCCTATCAAATACTTTTACTGTGTACGTGAATGTGCGAGCAGAAATATTTTCCTAGAGTGAGCAGACGTTGTCTAGCTGATGCAAACGAGCTATAAGAGGAAATGTTCGAAGTCATCCCGCCTTGTGTTGCCCTGGAGAAAGAGAGAGAGAGAGATTCCTCGTCGAGTGATTAAATGGTCTCTCTTTTGTTCGTTATCTACATTGTCTGCCTAATGAAGCCTTGCACCAGATAGATTGGGGTATGCGTAAGTAAATAATGGCATCCAAGTTCCACCCCTTGCGATCCTCTTTCCCTTCCGTTTCCATTTGTGTCTTCGTCAATTGCCGGCATTAAGGACATCACCTTTTGTGAGATCCTAACCAGAGGCAGCTTTATTGCGAATGCGAAAGCTGAAGCTGCCACCAATTAATGCTAATAACAGTCGACGTTGCCGGAATCAATCTGTATTATGTTCATGGAACCAATCTGGATGACGTTCCTCCTCGTAATGGCTTTGCAGGGAAATGAAGTTAAGGCATTATTCAAACGAGGAGCCGAATGACTTATCGTGTGAATTCGTGCATACTGGTCTCTCGTCGGTGCACATTTAGTCATATCGCATACAAGAAAAGCAAAAGTTTCAAGTACAAGAAAATATCATGTGGACTTTATTTTTCATGAAAATACACATACACAGATGTTGCGTTGGTGTCGAGTTCAAGAAAACAAACGCATACAAACGGTTCAGCGTGCGATCTTATGATCCAGCGCGTTGATATGCATAGCCTCGCGCAGCGCAAGTCAGGCATCGTTTTGAGTATCGCATTCAATTCTCAAGGCCTGCAAATGAAATAGATCAAACAACGCTCAAGAGAATTCAGTGGCAAATTGCAAAAATGATAAAAGAAGTACCATTACAAGGACTTTCATGCGAGAAGCGTTTAGAAACGTTGGGACTCAACTCGCTCGAAGGAAGGCTAACGAGGAGGGACCACATCCAGGTTTAAATATCGTTAAGGGAATCGATATCGTGGAGCGTGGATTCTTCCAACTCCATGGTAACAGCAGAACCAGAAGAAACCAATTCAAGTTGCGTGAATCTCAGACAAGACTCAGGTTGCGGAATCCCTACTTCACTTGTTGGGAGGCGGATGCATGGAATGTGTTGAGTGACGATATAGTGGCTGCCTCTACCGTGACTAGTTTCAAGAAGAGGCCTAATGCCTTCATGGACAAAAAAATAAGGGGAGAAAAGTAACTGTGAGCGACAAGGTAGTAGGTGGATGTGCTCTCACAAAAGAATCTATATTTAAGGGAGTAAGCCCTATCTTATTAAACATGAACGCTCCACCATGACAAGAGACATTGAGGCGCGGAAACGCCTCTTCACGTCCCTATCCGAACCTTGTCGTTAAAAGTGAAATGATCGGTACAGAAAGGCGCAGAGTCTATGCGAACCGTGCTTCAATGATTTTTTAATATTTTTGTGATTAAAATATATTTGGTATAGGTATTACATAATTCCATCAGGAGGGTGAGTTACAGTCTAGGCAATGGAAGTAATCCATACGCGATAATCCTGTGATTCCTGACTTCTATTGCACATCATATATTTCCTGAAGGGTCTCATCGAATTTTAGCTGATGGCGAAAGCTTACAATAAAAATTGTTTAATTCCGATATTTTCTTCATGAATCCTGACTAAATCGACCGTACTGAATCCATTGGTGAAGGTCCCATTTCGGTATAATCCGTGATTGCTGAGATAGAGGTTGAGGTGCTCAATCTAAAGAAAAAATTGACATTGAAGGATGTTGCGGGTTAACGCGATGTCCAATTGCAATGGTGACAGTAAAGAAATAGTCGTATTTGATAGGACTTTTCAGGAAATAAATCTCGTTGAGGATTCATTTGAGGCACTTGTGGGAATTCTCATGTTCTCGTCCTCAATAAAGGCAAGAAACAGTTGAAATGTAACGTGGGCGAAGTTACTCGTATCTGCGAAAAAGATTATGAAGTTTATGTGAAGAATGAGACGATTCTTTCACAAGTTAGAACAGATAATTCATCAATGAGGAATTCTCTACTTCAGGCACAGCCTTGATTACATCTACGTCAACTTAGAAACCCTTTTTCATGGCTTTCATGAATTTCGTACAATTATCAGGAATTCATGCGTGATATTCTTTGTCTTAACAGAATTAATCATGATAAAAGACAGAGGTCTTTTTTCAGCAGGTATCACATTTTCCCCTCCGGTCATCACACTTACCCCTAATTGCATGGTAATTGTTCTCTCAGAAACTGTACCAATAATGTAGCCTCAAAATATATTTTAAATTGTGTCAAGCTGTCGAGGTCTGAGCGGCTGTAAGAGGAGCATATATTTCCATTAAACAAGATTTGCGAATCTTAATTAGCAGTTGCGTGGAGATGGTTGAAATTTGAAACTGCAGTAACGCAATCACATTTCCCCTGAATGACCCTACACGTCTATCCAAGTTATTTGCATTTCAAAAGGGCGCATAATTTTCACCCACTCTGGATGTGTAGACAAGGGATGGGAGTCACGTTCTCTCAGTCGTCCTGTGGCAAGAAAGGTCTTTCTCATTCCCTCGTCGCCTCATTAGCCTTAAAGAGGGGATAAAAGACATATTACGGCTCATCCTAATTGAGCGGAATCAGCTGAAGCATGAAATGCCACCAATTACTCGCCGATTCCTTCTTGTCCCTCGAGGGAGAAAAGAGCCGACGACGGAAGACTTGCCTCGGGGAAAAGAAGACTTGCAAGCTAGTTTTCTCTTTCCCTTTCTTTCTAGTGCCTCCGAAGATAGCCCCGTTTGCCTTCCCCAATGCCCTCCTGAAGGAGGGGATGAGGGCATCTGTGACGTGTCAGATAGTGGAAGGAGACCTCCCGGTTTTCTTCACCTGGATGAAGAACGATCGTCACGTGGTCAGCGGAGATTCCGTGAATATTCGAACCCAAGATGAATTCAGTTCTACCCTCGTCATTCGGGATCTGGATTCCTCGCACAATGGACAATACACTTGCATTGCCGAGAATTCTGCCGGAAAGAGAACCTCCTCGGCCAATCTCACCGTCAATGGTACAAGAGTTGACTTCATACCATGCATGAAATAAGAGATGATCACTTGACTACTCGCTATTATGGTCCCCTGTAGTGCCGCCGAGATGGGGATTGAAGCCTCCGAAGAAATGGGAGGCCCTGGCAGGAGAAGTGGTGACGGTGAATTGCCAGGCAACTGGCTATCCCCCTCCCAAAACCTCCTGGAAATTCTCCCGCTGTAGGCCTTAGCATGCCAATCCCACTTATTCCATCTCTGTCTTGCAAGTAAAGTTTTACTCTTCTATCCCTCACAAAGCGGGTGGAAATGGAAAAGATTTTCATCGTTTGCCTGCGATTCGTGGCTTGTCCATCCTGGGGAATGGTTCCCTGAGGTTTGATCCCGTGTCTAAGGAACACCAGGGAGAGTTCCTGTGTGAGGGTGCCAACGACGTCGGGCCGCCAGTTGAGACCACGATCTTCTTGGAAGTCCACGGTAAGAAAGGCATGATATGCAATCGATATGCATTGCTTGATTTCGATCAGTGTTGTCTTTTTCTTGGCATTTCAACGTCTAAGAGTTTGAATTGAACAGCAGTGAGACTAGAGGCGGCAGGGTAATAGAGAAATGCGGCAATTCGAGTATACAGAACATACTCGAGTTTGCTATAGATTGAATGAGGATGGGAAACAGCGCACATAAACATTTAAGGGGTACGGACAAGGAAACAACAGGTACTGGGAGCTGGGCTAAAGTCGGGAGCTGTCAAGTTAGATTTCATCTTTTCCTTCATCAAAAACACCTCTGCTGTCGCTTTTTGGCCCAGTTCCCTGCCTTCGACCCTGAGCGTTTATTTAAATTGGGACTGACTTCATGCCCCAGTGCTTGCTGTAAAAGCGGGCCTGTACATCGGAGGGCTATGTAACACGTCGTTGACCCATGAATCGGAACTAGGATATACTCGAAACTTGAGGACAATCGGGCGATTTGAAACCCACATGCATGAATAAATAAATCGTGGGAAGACTCCCAGGGGCTTCTGAGACTCTCCGAGGAATTCTTGTTTGCCTACCGATCCTTGTCTTTCCCTTCCCCCATTAGTGAGAAAGATTAGTATGAAAATCGAAGAATTCCCAAAGGAGTAAATGTAGGGGAGCTGCCTCTCATGACGCAGCTCACGAAAGGCCGCATGCAAAGGGAACTCTTCTCATTTCCTCGAAATCTGGTATGCCCATCTCATTACGTGCTGCTTCCAGTCTATTTCCTAGCTCTGTGTGCATATCTGACGTCTCTTTCATCTCCACCTCAGAACAATGCAATGCCATCCAACGTGGGAAAGTCAATATATAGTTCTTGAATTCATTCTACAGTCTAAAGTACTGTAGCGTAAACTCAATGATTCTGTAGCTAAAGCTTGCTGTTATTCAGAAGAATTGGTATTATAGACCTGATATATAATGAAGAAGCAGATATAAAATATTAACACAGAGTTCGCACGGACAGCAACGGAAATGTCTATTTAGGGGGAATAGATGTAGTAGAATTCCGACAAAATCATATCCCATTCAAATTGCATATCACTGGAAAGTTCGCGATCTTCCGCGCACAAGAAATGCAATTGAAATAGTAATTGTTACCTCATTCTCAGATTAATTCAGACTCAAAATAGAGGAGTCTCAGGGGGTGGCCTAATGACAAAATCTACTTAGTAAAAACCAGTATACAGGGTGGGCAAAAAAAAACCGCTCCTAATTTGAAGCTTCATAACTTGGTCCCCGTTGGGCAATATCAATTTTTAAAAAAGCAAAATGAAGCTTGTTTAATTTTATTTCGAATGATATATCATTCTTGAGGGTTTGGGGAGAGAAATGGCTGCTATTGGAGTTTAAAAAGAAGTGACGAAAAAATTTCCTGAGTTCTTTCCAATGTCGCGCTGCTGCTGTCGCCTGTTTCTCCCGCGCACCCTCTTTTCCTACGCGCCCCTGCATGATACGGATTGGTTGATGAGAGATCATGCGATCATGAGGCCAGTAACATGAGGCTGTTGTAGATCGTGGAAGGGGCACATTGAACCATTTTTGGGTCATTGACACCGGGAACTATAATATTACGTTTTTAAACCCATAGTGTTCTGGAGTTGCTGGGCGTGAATGTGTTAAAAGGGTCTGTGAGCGTGTGAGTGATAAATTCGAGGTTGAGGAAAAGGAGCTTGGAGTAAAAGCCCATTTTCAAGAAAATTTTTCGTCACTTTTTAAAAAACTGTAATAGCGGCTATTTCTCTGAAGCAACCCCCCCCCCCCCCCAATATTATATATCATTGGAAAGAGAATTGAACACGCTTCATTTTGCTTTAAAAAAATTTATATTGGCCCAACGGGGCCCAAGTTATTAAACTTCAAATTTGGGGCGGTTTTTATTGGCCCACCCTGTATTTTACCATGCCCTTCGTTTACAGTAAAACTATGAGACTATGTACTATGAGAGTAAAACTATGTACCCAGTGTGAAGATACTATTCCACCGATTGCAGCAGTCAATGTACCCCTCTGTTTGGTCTTCATTACAAGGACGCCCCCTCTTCCTAGACAGTTTCATCTCAACAAACAACCCGTCATGGTCACATCCGTCGCAACTGCATTGAAGTCATTGCCCACAACTCCAAACTTTGCACTTCCATGAAAGCGTCGGAGGATGTGAATCTGATTGCATTTCTGCATTCATATCCGCTTCAAAGTCGAGCTGGAAACTCAAGAAAACGAGATTCTCCAGAAATTCAATAATTCTAGAGGTGCGGGAGAAGTTACTTTTGGTAGGGCAAAATTGCTACACCCCACTACTCCGCACAACATATCTTGAAAACGAAATTTTCTCGAATATAGTCTGGAGCTCCTCCTTACCTTGCTAAAATGCTGAGATAGCGGGGAGCGCTCGGAACACCATAACACTGCGGTAATATACTTACTAGAATATCTTAGAGTGGGACCTTTCCCTGTTGCCTCGCGATATCTGTGTTAGGAAAACGTCTAGAATAAATCAGTACAATCAGTCAGTAGTGATCGATAATCATAATCGTAGGGCATCGCACCCCCTAAAAGCATGGAAGCAATACTTTGGGGTGTAAGATTTTGCTGCGAATACGGTAATCGGAATACGAATTCACACTCTGCTAATTCCTGAAGAGTGCAATCACAAATGCCCCATAGAAGCCTTAATTTTAAGAAACTAAAGTTTTGGCCTTTGACATTGCTTATTTCGTTTTCAATGAAAACTTAGGGAACTGACGGTACAAGAGCAAACGTTAAGCCATTTTGAGATAACACGCTTACATCCCAAATTTAATCGAGGTGAAATTTCGGTGTATGAATTTAGATAAAACTCGAGTCTAGTTTGCAATTTAGTGGGGATCTGAATGCGCGCAGCCTCAATTCTCTTTGGGATCAGAAGGAACGAATCACTTAGAAGGCGATTTCCACCCTTTTTCTGCTTTCCAACTGAGAATAATGCATGGAGCCTGCAATACAGAGACTTTGGACTGCCATCGAGGTTTAAGGAAATACGAGAATATGCACAACATGCAATGACAGTAGCTTCCATTTTCATCGAACATGAGCGTCGAGATAGACCTACATCGTGTTCCGGAGTTCTAATACATTCCCCTTCATTGCGCTGCGCAAGTTGACCTATATTGGTATCAGAAGGGCATACCAGTTTGCATTTTAATATTGAAATCCCTCATACAATACGGGTACACTTGAGATACCATATATATGCATTGCGGAAGGAGGTTGAGATTATGGTGACATTTGAAACGCCCAATACCTACCGTGCTCGAGCTGCTTTCATTGTTAGCCTGAAAGCCTACACTGGAAAGTTTTCTTATCGGAGGTATACAGGTTTGTGACGATGGCATGCTTGAATAACATGTGTTTGATGTCGCCCACAGTGGCAGCCCACTTCAAAATGCTGCAAATGGAAGAAAAAGTGAAGAGAGGGGAAGCAGGAAGTCTCTCTTGTCGGGCATACGGAGATCTCCCCATCGCTATCCAGTGGCAGTTTCAAGGCAGGCCCTTTGCAGCTCCCGAACACCTTCAAAAGTGAGAATCACTACAATATAGATCCTCATTTGAAGACGTGTCACCTGGAGACCAGTTCTTGACAGATACGCGATCGTGGAGGAGGAATCGACTGACGGCAAAGAATCGCGACTGATGATCGAAGTTGTAGATCGAAGTGCAGGGGGGGAATATTCTTGTCGAGTCTCCAATCAGTATGGAGAACAAACTCTCAAGATACTTCTCACCGTCATAGGTCGGTCGGGATTTCGCATCTCTATCCTTTAACACTTTCTCTCTTGACTAAAGTATTTTCTATGCATTCTATCCAGAGGTGCCAGAGGACGTGTCTGGGATTCGAATCTTGGAAGAAGGGAGTCGGGAAGCCAGCGTCGCATGGGTTCCCCCCTTCGATGGGAACTCTCCCATTTTGAAATATCAACTCCTCTACAAGCCCATCTACGGTGAGACTTTGGTTCTGCCTCATTTCCCGAAATTGATATATAGCATGATTAATGTAAACTTAATCGCAGGCGATTGGGAGAGAGACGCGAGGATCCAAGAGGTTGAAGGTAGAGAACATGAAGCAGTAATAAAAGAACTTCTTCCTGCCACGTCGTATCATCTTCAAGCTCTGGCCATTAACACATTGGGCCCGGGAGCCCTTTCACATCTTCTTACCTTCTCCACACTCCAAGAAGGTGAGTCGTTGTCGACAGATACGGAATGCAAAAGAGTCTACATTCCAGTAAACATTGCTTCTGGTACAGCACCGTCTGGAATTCCGGAGAAGTTCCTTGTTGTGGCAAGGAGTTCAACCGAACTGGAAGCAACTTGGGAAGCTCCTGCCAAGGACTCCTGGAATGGGGACCTGCAAGGGTTCTATCTCGGGTTCAGAATTGCTCAGTCTCCTAACGGATATAGGTATTGACGATATCCAAGATGCGGCCCTTTCCAAGAACAGCCGAAGTGCCGATGAAAAAGTGGGTTTTGTGATCTCTTAGTTTCAAGACAGTGGATCTGGGAGTGGATTTCAGGGGTCAAGCCGTATTGAAAGGTTTGGAGAAATTCACCACCTATGAGCTGGTAGTACAGGCCTTCAACGTCATGGGACCCGGTCCTCTTTCCGCTCCAGTCCCTGCTACTACCCTTGAGGATGGTAAAATGTTGCTCTTTCTCCGTTTTGTCACTATACCATAACTTTCTCTCCAATTGTCTGGTCTAATGCAAGAAAAAATTTTATTTGCAGTGCCAGAAGTGGCACCTGAGAATGTGGCCTGCAATTCTCTAACTGCCACGTCTCTTCAAGTTACATTTGACCCACCATCTGAGAAAGGGTCAAACGGGGTAATCAAAGGATACAAAGTTTACTATCATGCTCTGCCTTCGTGGCCAGGTTTGCTTCTTAAAATATTCATTGAGTCTATCCTCAACTCACCAGTGGGTTCACGTTGGATGGTCTCCCTTTTCCTTCAGATGATGATGTCGTGGAGGAAGAGAGTCGGGCAACTCGGTCTCAGTCTTTGATTTTGCGACAGTTGAAGAAATTCACCAATTACAGTATTCAGGTGTCCGCTTTCACTCATGTTGGGGACGGAATGCGAAGTCAATTCATATTCTGTCGTACTCGACCTGATGGTACGTCACATCTTGAAGCCTATCCTGCTTTGAGAAGGGAAAAGGGTTCATTCACATGATTTGGACAACTGCTTTGATCCTCAGTGCCTGGGGGTGTGACCGAGGTGAAAGGATTGTTGAAAGGACCCGACACAGCCTTGATCACCTGGTTAAACCCCTCTGAACCAAATGGACTCATCTCAAAATTCACTCTATACATGAATATCTGGGAGAAAGATCGATTAATCACAGAGGTCTCGTATATGCAAGTTATTTTCCCACATGCAATGTGATGGTATACAACTTCAGGAGAGTATCTATGGCATGTTGGAACAGGGGAAGGAGCACGTGGTGGCGTTACCGGCAAGTCAAACTCAGTATGAGGTGACGGGATTGAAACGCAGCCAGAGGCGCGAATTTCAAGTGTCAGCGTCGACTGAAGTAGGGGAGGGACCTCGATCTCCCTCCATCTTTATCCTCTCTTCTGATCAAGGTACCTGCATTAGTTTTCTTGAGTCCCAATATCTGTAACATAAGCACACAAAATTAAATTTCAGAACTGGGATGTAAAAAAGTATTTAATTAGCTTGAGTCCTGAGGTGCGGATATCTTCAGGAACGTCCTTCCAACTTCTACTCCATCCAGCTTCAAATATTTCCCTGGAAAGGTCAAAGTATGTTTGTGAACGTTCAGTAAACTTTTAATGGGAAAGATCTTGCATACCCACTGACAGCGGGAAAGATTTGCTGTCCCCAAAGGGTCAAAGAGAAACGGCCTCTTAATCATGTTTCACTTTCATTTCAATCTCTTTTCTTGATTCGTTTTTATTTCCATAGTTGGAGCAGGGATATCATCGTTTGGAGAAAGGATTATTGTACCCTGGAAGGAGGACGTGAGACTGTTTTGCAGTAGTGTCGGCATTCCCAAGCCCAGGACTCGATGGACGTTGGATGGACGGCTCCTCAACACCAATCAGCGTGTTTGGGTATCTATTTTAGTCTGGATTTTTTCTTACAGACTGTCTTCACTTTCATGAAGCCCGATCGACCCATGTTAGAGGAAGTAAATGTACTTTTTTCCTGCTTCTATCGTCTAGCTGGAAGACTCTGGTGCCCAGCTGGTAATTCGACATATCCAGGACGAAGACTCGGGAAATTACTCATGTTTCGTCGAGAACCAATTCGGCAAAGACTCAATCTCTTACAGCATCCGAGTTCTCGGTAACATAAATCGTTATATTGCACGGTAGCCCTCATCAGTTTTTAGTTTCGATTATTCATTTTTTCATCTGTGTACATAGTGCCTCCGAGTGCTGTGACGCTTTTCGTTGATGCCGTGTCTTCGGATTCCATCACCTTGCATTGGGAAATGAATTCAACAAACAAGGGATCCATCACAGGTTCAAATACTTTCATGCCCAACTCCTCAGAGCATTTGAAATTAAGTACCCAGAAGGCATATATGCATACGGATGTGCAGGGTATGTGCTACATTTCAAGAAGAAATCCGAGGAATGGAAAGAGGAAGAATTGGAGGGAGGGGAAACGAGTTATTCGTTGAATGGCTTGGATTGTGGCCATGCCTATGAAGTTTTCTTGACGGCATTCAACAGAATCGGCATGGGTCCTCCAAGCAACGTCATTCATGCCCATATTCAAGGATCTGGTAAGTTGTAAGCTTCACTCCTTCAAAAAAATCATATATTTCAATTTCAGTGCCGTCCCACTGATGTGGACGAAGCCGTTCATGCTTGTCAGTAACATCAGCACCATCACATAACCAAATTAGCATAGCTGATTTTTTAAATCAGTTTGAAAGATGAAGCAGAGTGCATTATCATTATCATTTCTGCGGAGTTGAAGGACTTGAATTCCTCTCATTTAGTTCCGATAGCCCCGGGTGTAGAGAGGCTTGTTGTGCCATCGGAGACGTGGGTCTCCTTGTCTCTGGACTCCTGGGATGATGGAGGCTGTCCCATTCGCCAATTCCAAATTTCCTATCGAAGCTTCGACCCGGCAGCAACGAGTGCAAGTACTACTATGGGTTCAGGAGCGTGGACGACGTTGGAGTCAGGAAGAGATACGATTTCGGATCTCATACCAGCCACTGGCTATCAGATTCGAGTCATGGCCGTCAATTCCGCCGGTGCAACGGAACAAATATATTCCTTCAACACCCTCACCACCGAAGGAGGTATGAGATATGTCGCGTGTGTAATATATTCGCATGTCATCCTCATTTAAATTTCAAGTCTCACTTCACATGAGGCCTGTATTCTTTTCGTTTGGCTCACTCAGTACTTTTCTCTCTGCTTATCGAGTCTCCCTGGATTCAATGAACAGCAATTAGATTTCGCGTCATTAACAGGAGATTGCAAAGTGATTGGAAGTAAGCAATGTGTATGTGCCATGCAGGTACTGTTCCGCCATTGACTGGGAGTCAGGACGATGGAAATGAATTGAATTTCTACGAAAGGCCGGAACTGATTGTCCCTGTCATCATTTCTGTCATCTTGGCTCTGACCAGCCTCTCTCTCGCCGCCTATTGCCGACGAAAATGTAGGTCACCTGCCTCAGCTTCGCATGACAAAAGGAGAGAAGGGAGGAGGGAGTGGTATCTTGATTTCTTTTCCAATGTCCGTTTATTTGGTTTGGACAGACATGAAGAGGAGCAGGGCGACGACTAGAGCCGTCACTCCGTCCTTGATCCCGAATCACAATCCCTTCTACTACAATACCCATTCAAGGAAAGACCCAGGTTCGAGACCTCGTCTCTATTGCCATTTTCTGTCCCTGCTTCGTTGGAAGGGGTTGAATGATGCACATATTGAACGAAACAGGAGGGAATGTGGAGGAGGTGAACCCATATGCAACGATTCAGTTGCCCCAAGACCAGGATACTATGTATGTCCAAGGGGGTCTCAATGTTTATTCAGGACTTTACTCTTTGAAAAACCCAAGTCCCCCTACATTTGTCTATCATGATCCTAGCTTCTCCCGTCTGGAGACGCTTCCCCTCAAACATGTGAGTCTCGAAAACCACACCAACAATTTTTTTCAAAGGAGACTTCCATGAACTTTATTCTCTCCCGCCGTCGATTTCAGGACCATAGTCACTACTCGGAACTAAGAATGAAGGGAACGTCGGACAGGGGAGAGGAAGAATTGCAAATTTCAGCTTCTGACTACGATAGCATCGAAAGCGAAGGAGATTCTGGGATGGAAAATTCCAATTCCAGGGCAAAGGGACGAAGACGACGTCATCCGCCTCGACGCAGGGGTAAAAAAAAAATAACCCAGTTGGGCTGAGATTCCTCTTAATCAGACCGGTTATCAAAGACGACTCTGCTAATTGGAATGCTCCCGGGACCTTTAGTCCATTTTCCAAGACATTCCGTTAACCATAACTACTATGCTGCATTTCTTTCGGCATTTTTGCAGAAAAGCAAATGCAGGTAGGGCGTTTTTTAAAGCTATTTAAATTTATTAATTAATTAATTTAAAAAAGAAAAGTTTATTCATTAAATGTGTAATTTATTCATGTGTGTCATGTTGTTTATAATGCGTATTAAGGTTAAGAAATCGGGACCAAAGAATGGTATTCCATTAAGCGGTATTCAAATAAATGGAGTCGAATGTATTATTACTTCTCTATTCTTTTTTTTACATTCCTGACAGACGTGATGGGCGAGGCATATCACAGCAGTACGGACAGTGTTTATTCACCGAGAGTGGCTTTGACACGCGGGAGGAAACATCCAGGGTCGTCTTCTCAGGGACTTCCAATTGGGTTTGTCACATGCTATCATGTGGACCTCTGCACCGTCGATAATTTCATCCCTAAGTTCCCTTAAAAAAAAAAAACGCTTTGAAGATTGAATTATCTTCGAAGCACTCCTTTCAAGGGGGGCAGAGGAAGAGGATATTGTGAAAATTCTTCGAGTACGATACTTAATGAAGAACTGATTTTCCGATTGGGGAAGAAATAGGATGAAATTCTTGATGGTATCCAACTAGTTTAATCAATTCTACACCATAAAACATCCTTTATTACAGTGCTTCTCCTGCAGTGAAATATTAACAATGCAAGAATCAGATATGAGTTCAGAATGAGCGAGAATGTCTATTAAGCAAGATGTGGTGATGGAGGCGCAATGCGACTTGCCACAAATGATTAGACTTACTCATGCGTTCAGATATAACCGCCTACGAAGCATGCAGGAGAAACTTACCGATTTTCGGCAATGCTAGGTGCATGGAGGGGGATTCAGGAACTCTCAATTCCAGACGATATCGTGCTCCGGGTGACCCTAGAAAAAGCCGGCACACCTTCAAGCCTTCCTTTCCCATCGATGTCTGATCGATTCGTGGTTCTTCGAAACTTCAACGAGATCTCAGCTGGAAACCTCTTTTTGTATATTTATTATTGACGAATTTATTTCATTTCTTTATCTCTCGTTGGGTGCATGGGTGAAATTAGGATGAAACATGAACCAAGTCTACAATGGACACTGCATCGGCGAATGACATAAGCCACTCAACATTTGAAGAGGATCACTATCAGTAACCATAAACGTTATATTGGTCCAGTACAATAATTTATTTTCAATAATAATTTCTAGTACGTACATCAGACTGCTTCAAATGAATCCCCAAACGATCGGGTACAAATAGGCTCGAGAGCAGATGCACCCAACTCGATCAACTTGAACGCTATCTCCGAATGTCAAAGGGATCCACTTCAAATGTTGAGTAGTGTACGTTTTGTGCTGAAGAAATTGTCTTTTGTCGCAGATAATTACCGGAATCAAAACCCCAAAAGGTGCTATAAAGCTTTATTTAAAGACTTCAAATACTCACGTTCATGACTTATTGTTAACTTGTGGTTGTATTCATCTCCCAAAGTAAGACGAGCTTTTCCCTCCAGTCACCTAGTCCCACAGAAAATGCGCATAATCCCTTTCAATAAACATTGTACCCATTTCAACATGGATTGAAGAGAGGGAGGGCTCAGGTTTCGGAAACGAAGGCATTTCTGCCACCAACGAATCTCTTACAATGTAAGAGTCTATTCTGTTCTGAGTTCTGTAGTGATGAAAGGGGCAACTTAATTTTGTGTCCATGTTATTTTGACTTATACGGTGCCAAATGTCTGGTCTCTGACATTGTGATACTGTTTTATGCTCTGTGAATAAAAAGTTTACCCTTGCCAGATTTTCTCAATCGTCGAAATCTAGTGCAGTCTTTATCTGGGGAGGCGTGACTATTATTTCTCAGATATCTATATCCTTTGAATGAAAAAGTCTCTCTTTCTCAACCGCACTATTATGATGAAAAATAAATTTTGCTATAGTGTGACAATCATCAAACGGTCTTCCATCTGCTTATGTTTCACTGCGCAAAGGAAGGTTGTCGACCTATCTCTGTGTGATGACAAGGATGGCATTGAGAGGCCAAACTGAATNATTCCTGGGTTCTGTGGTGTAATTGTAGCACACCTGACCGAGAATCAAGAGACCCAAGTTCAATTCCCGGCCGTCCGCTGGCTCTCGTTCATCCTCTTTTGCCATCCAACTTTCACTCTTCACGTTACGTTGTACATTGTATTTTCGAAAATCATTAACTTTTCCTCACACAAAGAAGGAAAATCAGTTTCACCTTTTCGATCTTCTTATGATGCCATTCGTTCTTCCTGAAAATCGCCTGAGAATGAAGAAAAATGATATGGTAGAAAAGGTCCGTGAAGAGTCATCCAGAGCTTCGCCACCTTATAGACTCCGTTCAATCTCCATGGGCTTCCATGGGCTTCCAACTCGGGACTGAAGGAAGTCCTTTGGAAATAATCTCATCGGCAGAAAAACAGCGCAATTTTTTTTAATTTTTCGATGACCTATCTCCTCCAGTTGCCATAGCATAACGGAATCGATGGAAGAGACCAAATTCATCATCTGGCCGCATCTTTGCAATAGTTACAAAAAGAGAACGAATTAATGAGCTTCCTTGGTAACAGGGTACTTGTTATAGGGTAAACCTACCCAATTCTGTGATACTAAGACTTAGGTGAAAATGAACTATGCTTAAGTGATGCATGCTAAATAAATTTAGTATTTATTAATAGATACAACATTTAAGTAGGCCTATAGTGCTGCTATCTAACGGGCATTCATGGCATTACATAAACTGTAACAGTTACCTCTGTGAATAGGTGCGACAATCACAGAATTAGGTAAGTTTATCCTATTTTCTGCTGTTGTGCTCTTATTTCCCTCACACCCTTTTGCTATTGAGTCATTGCTGAATGTCAAACTGCGAATTCATGCCGAGATGAATTCTGTTTTTTGAGCGTGTAATCGACGTAGGTTATTTGGGATGCTCAGCAGGTGTCAAATTGATGCATGAAGTTGATGCATGCATTCCAATTAGTCTACATCGATCAGGATGGCTTTGCAGTTAGACACTCAACAACGACCCAATAGCGAAGGGACTTGAGCGGGAAAGAAAAGGAAACAGGCAAAATCAATGACATCGCCCTCTTCCTTCATTCCTTTGGCGTTCAAGTTTTCTCTGCACTGCCTTATACCTTGACCTGGAAACTACGAGGGGTGATCCAAAAGCCTCTGCCCTGAGATATAAGGGAATGTGATAGACTGTTGAAACAAATTTAATTTGCCAGCATTACCTCCCTGGACATCAATGCTTGTCCCAATGATGGAATAGGGCTTAAATTTTATGGGGGGAAATTCATTTTCCATAGGGAATTAAAATTGCTTGGACAGATTCACTGAATTGACATCATCGTCAGTTTCACCTTCGTAGCCGCTTCACAGAAGTTTTTATTTAAATGTATACTAGCTGCTTGCGGCCGCTACGTTGGCCGTCTAATGGGCGGAAATTTGAAAATGGAGGAAATATGAAGCAGTTCGGTTCAAGTCAAACATTAAAAATATTCAAACAAACCTCGATACGTTTGAAAGTGTTGCCGCCCAGCTAATTTTATTATCATCGAGACCACATCTCACAAATAAATTAATAGTGAAATTAAATCACTTTTTACTTAATAGAGCATTATCTCTTCTTTCGAGTGGAGTAAACAACGTCTCAATCAAATCTAGCATTGCGAAGTACTTAATTTTAAGGTGGCCAAGACTCTTGACACCCTGTAGTAATTGACATCTACAGAGTGAGTACTTTTAATTGTCTTTTAAAAGAAGACCAATGGTATACCAACTTTTTTTTTGGCCTAGCCTATGGCCTAGAATGGCATAGCATCGTAGGCCTCGCGCGTTAGGTATGACAGCCATCATAACTTTCGGCCTCTGTCAATTAAAGAATTAGATTAGATTATTAAATGAACTGTTTTTTTTGGGATGAATACATTTATATAAGGTGAACGCTTTAATTAATAATGAGAACTTAAAAACTGCTCTGTTTTCAAAATTTGCCATTTTGAATTATATGTTTTTTGGCTGGAAAAAATCATACACACAAATAATCAAAAATAAAAATAAATATATATATGTATATGGATGCACCCAAGACCGATTGCTGACCCTTGAATTTACCAAAAAGGATGGAAGAATATGGGAACCAAATTTCAGCCTTCTCCGATCATTCCTACTACCTTAGGGCAGAAACTTTTGGGTCGCCTCTCGTACTTCATACTTTCGATTTTCTACACATCTTTTGAGTTCTCTGCACGTTTCGTCAATAAAATCCCTCTGGGTGATCGTTTTGGGCAATAAGTAAGACTTCCTTGCTCCCATTTCAATTGGAGTGCTTATCTAATTTTCTCTGCGAATATTCATCCTACGTCATTGAAGCTTTACGCTTTCATAGCTCGCTACTTCGATCTTGGGCACCAAAAATCGCTCAACTCCTTGGGGGTGCTTTTTCTTGGTGATGAGAGTATTTAGACTCATTTATCGGTACCTGAAACAGATCCTCATAACTTTTTATTATTAGTAACTGGAAATGTTTTTATAGTCGAATAACACATTTTAACTATCACCCCCCATTTTATGGTTAAAGCGAAAATTCAAATTCTCAGGTATGGTATGCGGATTTTATGGAATTTTTCGTACTAATAATAAATCAAGGTAATAGCGGGTGTGCTCTTGTGCGCTTTCGTGGGTCTACGGACGAAGAGTGCCAAAGAAGTTATCGGCCGACCATAGTGAGATTTGTCAAAATTATTTTATGATTTTTTAAATCATACACTTGTTTTCGGATTTAATTTACACTCTTTCCCCCCCCCCCCCTCCCCCCTCAGGAGCGCTTCCATCAATCGCAGGTAATGACATCTTACATGTGCCTAGCCTTGTGCATCGTGTGATGAAGCCGATCCTCTGGAAGAAGTGTTGTCTCCGTTCTCCATTAACCAGGGGGGAGGGGGGGGGGGGGGGGGATAGAGAGGACGAATTCAATCAGGAGAGAGTGTTATCACCCCTAACGACAAAGCTCTTCTTTCATCATCCCTTAAGCATCACTATCCTAGTCTCAAGCCACACTTTCGACCTTTCGAACCACCCATCTGTTTCGTGCTTAGCTGCTTTGTCGTCCCGAAGTTTCTTCCCACGTAGATGTTCCTTCAGGTACGGAAATACTCGTCAGTAAAAGTAATAACGCGCGGTTTCCTATCATCTCTCCGAGAGACAACTCGCGGAATTCAATTTGCTGACTACAATCGCCGAATATTCAATTCATAGAAAGACGATTCACTGATTGACCATTCACCGGTTGCTCAACTCGAACGCTTAACCTGCCGAGTTATGTCTGTGTAAAACCCGTCAGAGCCCGAAAACTCGCTGAATTTCGTTATTGATCTGAAATTCAAGCATAAATTCTGTCGATCTGA